GAGAGAGAGAGAGAGAATTATCCCTTCTAAATTCGATTGAGGCAAGATGAATCGAAGTCTAGGTTGCAGTAGCGACTCCCGCGACTTCGCTTCGTTTCGCATCGCGTCTCGCCGGTAGCTTTCACTTTCGTTCGCCTCTCGCGAAGTCCCGCGAGATCTCGAACGCGCATCTCCGCGCGCGAATCCGATCCGCTCATCTTTCGTTGGCCCTTCCTATTATGTCGAAAGGATCGTCGTCGCCGGGAAAACGTCCTTTCGAAAAACGAAAGATCGAGTCGCAAAGTCCACGTTTCATTCACCAAGGATGCCGGTCAAATCTCGACGATTTCGTGAGAAACGCAGCCAGTCCAATTACATGTATTATCTCACAAAGTGATATGAGAAATTGGAATTTAAAAATCGTTTTATCATTTTATAGTCTTTAAAATTTAAATTTAAAATTTCGTCCTCTGCCTTAAAAATCTCTGATCCAAATGTCATTTTTACCTACGTTTTTCAGCCTTAATATTTTTGCATAATAATTAATTTTGACTCCACCCTACTAACTCGAGCCATGATTGAATTGTACTCGATTGTGATACGTCATTCAATTATTTTTTTATCTAGTCCGACTCTAATAATTCGAGAAAGACTGTTTCCGCTAATGATCTAATTATAAATCTAACGTACGATTCTTAAAGCCTTTTTCATTTCAAACAAGTCAATTTGAGAAAAAGTCAAACATGAGAAAAAGAGAAGAAAAAGGAGTTCCCTCGCCTGGTCTACGTGACTGAACAACAGTATCAAGCCGGTTGCCGGCAGTATTGATCAAGGTCGTAGCGTAATCGGTAGCCAGCTGAAAGCTGTCAAAACTATATTGCACAGAAAAAAATTAATCTTATTCAAGATTATATATTCTCAAATATAAACAAGAATATTATAATCTTTATATAAAATTTTTTTAATCTTGAGTCGAACAAAAATAATACTTGCATCGATACATATTCAATCAAATCGAGATTAAAATTTTTAAAAAGAGATTATAGTATTCTTATATGTGAGAATATTTTTCTTGATTTAAAATGGATTTTTTTCTGTGCGATCACGCAATTTTTTTTTTATACGTACGAAAATAAATTCAGAACAGGCACAAAAGCGTGAATTTGTGCTCAATGTGAATGTAGATATTACCAAATTGGTCGTCTGTACTAATTGCAGCAATCGTTTTATTCATGTTTATTCGCTCACTTGCTCGATTTGGATTCGTTTGATCACCTTCCATCTTTTGTCGATAAATAAAAAAATACTCGCAGCATTGCTGCTTGGTGTTGATTCATCTTTTTAAAGGGTTCATCATTTTTGATCATGGAAGCAATTTCGTTCGTTCATTCATGTTTATTTGCGCTCGCTTACTTTGTCGGATTCAGCTTTGGAAATAGATACGTGCGAATTTGCACGTATCTACGTTCCTTCTACGATCCGATACTCATAAATTTGCTGTTATTTATGAATTTATTTTATTTGTCGAGCGAAAACAGGAATATTTTTTCGATGATACCAGTCGATTGTATCCCGATTTAGCACTCAAATAACACCAAATGGAGGAAAATCACGCGGAACGGTGATACCGGTTGTTTTTATCAAACAAGTTAATAAATTCTTGAAATTTAACAACAGCAAAACCAGTTATTTGTAAACATGCAAATAAAAAAAGATTAAAAAAAATAATTAAAAGAAAATTAAGAAAAATAAAGTTCGAATAAAGAGATATATTGAAATAAAAAATTAGAAATATAGAAGCAGAATTAATCATTAATTATCAATCGTTTACTTCAATTAATCCTAAATCAAATCGATCAAAAGCAAGTCAATGATTAATGAAAGTAATACCAGATATTTAAAATTACAAAGGATTTTTTACCAAAAACTGAAAAATGTTTCCTTCTTTTTTATATAAAAGAATTTTCTTTTTTATATAAAGATATATAAAAATAAACTATATATTTAAACTTTTATATATGAAAAAGTATTTTATATATATAAGTATTTTAAGTATTTTATATATGAAAAAGTAAATATTTCTTGAAAAATTGCTTTTAAACATCAAATTTTATTAAAATATTAACCTATTAAAATGACTCAATGTGGTTATTTCAATAAAACAATTAATCAATACATAAATACGTAGTTTTTATTGAAAATTTGAAAAATATCATATGAAAAGTAGTCTTTCTATAAAATCTCAACTTTAGGAAAAAAAAAAGAAAAAGAAAAAGAAAATGGCTATTTTGCATGGTTCATTTTTTGCAACTCTAATAAAATATGATTCTTGGAAAAATTCCAAAAAACATTTTTCACACAACAAACGTTTAATACGTAAATATAATCATTATTCAACAATATCATATATATTT